TTGTTGCATTTTGTAGAATCCTTGAAATGTTCTGTGTAGACAGTCTTGCCGTCGGCAGTTAAGGGCTGCTGATGTATTTCTTCCTTTCTGACCTGTGTGCTTTTTATTTCTTATTCTCACCTTATTGCACTAGCATCGTGTCAAATAGTAATAATGAGAAACCCATTTCGTCCTGTCACACCTGTAGCTGAAGAGTTGTGTTAATGCTTCTATAATTTAGTGTATGGGTGTTGTAGCTACTAGCTACACACATGTATATGCACCTTGTACATGCAGCGCCCACAGAGGCCAGAAGAAGGCATCAGATCTCTTGGAAGTACATGGTTGTGAGCCACCATGTGGGTGCTGGGATTTGAACTCAGGACCTTTGGAAGAGCAGCCAGTGCTCTTAACCACTAAGCCATCTCTCCAGTCCCTGTTAATGCTATGTAAAATCAGCTTAAAGAGGTTCCTCCCTGTGTCTGCCTCTCTGAGAGCTTCATCTTGAATGTGTGCTGATTTTACCAGATGCCTTTCTGTGGCTTAATTGACAGGATAATGAGATTTTTCTATGCTACCAATGTGGATTACATTGATTGGTTTTAAAACACTGGACCCAACTTGTGTCCCTGACACAAATCACATTTGACCATCATGTAAAGTTTTCATATATATATATATATATATATATATTGCTGAATGTGTTTTTAATTTTTTTTTTCTTACTGAGTTTTGGGTCTGTGCTCATGAAAGGTGTTGGTTATGGCTCTATCTGGTGCTGTTACCTTTGTGGATTTGGTATCAGACCCTGATGGCAGCTCCATAGAATGAATAGAGGCTGGTTGTGGTGGTGGGTGTGGGTCAGAGACTTGCTACCAAGCTTGATCACCTGGGTTTGAATCCCAGGACCCACATGGTGGAAGGCAAGAAGCAACTCCTACAGGTCGTCCTCGAATCTACACAGGTGTAATGTGGTATTCATGTGTATATACACATACTCATATTTACACACACACACACACACTCATATACACACATACACACACTCACATACTCATACACACACACTCACAGCCACATACACACTCACAGCCACATACACACACACTTTCACATACGCTCACACATACACTCATATAAACATTCACATAGTCACATAGACACACTTGCACACACTCATATGCACATACACACACACACACAATCCCGATTGTGTGATGACTTCTGGATTTATACAAATACTCAGAGATTAGCAACTCATGTAAATTCCAACTGCCGAATTTTCTAAAGATTTCTTGATAAGTAACCTAAGACGGCTCTGCACCAAGGAAGCTACAAAAGCTCACTGAGGCCCTGCCAGAGGCCACTTCTCCTCCATGATAGGTGCAGGCCTCTCAGAAGGCCAGTCATTAGACTAGCAAGCCTCTCAACTGTACCTCTGTGACTGACACTTTGAGTTGTCTAAGAGATGCTATGAAAAGTGACCTTTCTTCTTCCAGGATATGAAGCTAGGCGGCCATGAGTTATCAACACCCACTCGCTTGAAAGTGTTCTGGGTCTTAGGTAGAGAGTACCTTGTGGATGATTAGGAGACCCAAGCTTGAGGTAAAGATGCCATTATTTAGGATAGACATGTCCCTGTAGGCCACACAGAGAGGCCAGGAGCACAGGAACAAAGACAGAAGATGACCTGTAGGTTAATGCCTTTATTGTGACCCATAGGTTAATGCCTTTATTGTGTCCTGAGAATTACTCCCACAGGGTTCCTCATGGGGAATTTTAATTGGTGATTTAAAGCAAGCAGACATGAGTTCTGAAAGGTCACGGGTGTTGGAGATGGTTACTGTGGCATAGGGCTGCACACTGTGTGCCGGGTGTGGGCACGGCTGGTGAGTCAGGTAGACTGTAACTAGCTGCCTACAGGGAGGTGGTCACCAGAAGGAAGTGGTTTAAGGCAGACATCTGGATTGACACCTGGGTGCATGGGAGGCAGACAATCGGAAGCTGGGTCGGGGTGACTGAACCTGCCCTGAACCTGCACTCAGAGTGAACCCACATGGAGTGTAAGGTCATGTGACACCAGAAGAATTGCCTATAGGCTGTAAAGCAGAGAAGGCTTCACAGGTAGATCGAGGCCAGTGGTTCAACCTTCCTAATGCTGCAATATAATTCTTCATGTTGTGGTGACCCCCCCAAACCGTAGAATTACCCCTTTGTTACTTCCTAGCTGTAATTTCACCACTGTTATGAATCGTAATATAAATATCTGGTATTTCCAATGATCTTAGGCAATCTCTGTGAAAGGGTTGTGACCCACAGGTTAAGAACCGCTGATCTAAATTGATTGATTTGGGGTTTTTTGTTTTGTTTTTATTGTGTCCAGTGGATAAACACTAGCAAAAAATATATTTTAGGAAGGAAGAGAGGGAGGGAGGGAGGGAGGGAGGGAGGAGAAGAGAAGGGAGGGGAGGGGAGGGGAGGAGAAGAAGGGGAATAGGAGAATGAGGTCTGAAACTGGGGCTCTCAGCATTTGAAAGGCTGCATTATAAAGATAGCCCAAGTCAGAGGCCAGCCTGGACTATGAACCAAATCCTGCCAAAAGCAAGGGAGGGAGGGAGCCGAAAACGCCCGGTAGTTGAGTAGACCAGGTTCCTGCTCCTGTCATGTTGAATGTCTGTAGAAGGGAATGTTAAAACAGTTTGTTGTCGAAGACTCACCGAGATGGAGTGTGGTGTCCGCACGTGGACGCATCTTCCGGGGCTCACATAGCGGGCTACACCATCCAGCAGCCACTGCAGAACTTCTGCCTGTGCCAGCACAGTGTCGCCGAGCCACGTGCTGCTTGACATGGTATTCTCACAGCTGATGACTTGAATTGCTTTGCTTGGAGTTTTTAGGGTCATTAGCCTGGTGATGACTGATGTACCTTCATGGCAGGTCTGTGCTACAGGGCACCGATGCAACCCAGTCTCCTCGGTAGACTAAGACAGCAGTTACACACGGGAAGACACACACAACACACTTGTGTTCCTGTGAAGTCCATGAGCTGGCATCTGCTTAGATCAGGACAGAGGTGGCCTGTGGAGGGAGGGAACCAAGGGAGCCCAAGGAGACGTCTGGTGCCAGCCATGTTCTGTTCCTTAGACAGAAAGTGTCCAAGATGTGGGGGTGGGGGGTAGGGTTAGGGGGAACACTTCTTTCTCGTTGTAAAATTAATACATATGTTCATGGTGGAAAATAAAGGTTCTCCAAGGTATCAAAAATCGGAAAATGGAATCTCATAAACGAGAGATAAACTAGTGTTGGTGTTCTGGAAGGTTCCTTCCCAGTATGTTTGAGAAATGGAAGCATTCTCTGTTACTTCTCGAAAATCATTTGAATGAACTTTTTGAGATTTGTTTAATGTGTATGTGTTTGACTTGAACATAAGTCTATGTACTGTGTGCCTGCCTTGTACCCATGGAGATCAGAAAGGGCATTCGATCCCCCGGACTGGAGTTTTATATAGATGGTTGGCTGTGAGCCATCGTGTGGGTGCTAAGAATCAAAGTCTGGTCCTCTGCAGAAGCAGCAAGGGTCTTTAGTCTCTGAAAGATTTCTTTAGCCCCTAAAAACCACTTTTTATATCTAATGACAGATGCTAACTTTTCCTGTTGGTTTTTGTTTTGTTCTTAGAGTCAGGGTCTTGCTGTGGAACCCTGGCTGGCTTATCGTGGTTAAATCCTCCTACCTCCGCCTCCCAGACATGAACATTTTAAAATTATTATTTAGTTTTTTCCTCTTCTTTCCATATTAGACCGGATCTTGTTGTGCAGTTAAAGCTAACCTTAACCTTAAACTTGTTCTTCTCGCCCACCTGGCCCTCTAAATCCTGCCTCACCCTCCCTGGGATTTAAAAGTGTGCGGAGCTGGATTTATTATCAATAGTAGAATATGAGTCTATAATACAGATACATCATATTTAATTTAACAAATCCTGAGGCCCACAAGATGGCTTGGTGGTTAAAAGCACTCGCCAACAAGCCTGGTGGCCTGAGTTTGGTCCCCCAAATTCCACACAGTGAAAGGAAAAACCTGACTCCTACAAGTTGTCCTCTGACCTCTATACTTGTGTCATAACATGTGCCGCCATCATCACCACCACCACCGCCGATGCCATACAGACAAGCTGTGCTGATTTCCGTTATATTAAATGATGCTGTGGTATACTGTCCTCTCTGTATGTTTGTGACCGTTTGCTAGAAAGCAGGCACTAGGTGGAAACACAGGGACGTTTTCTTAGCTTCTGAGTTCCATTGCCAGACTAATATTATTGAAATATTGTCTTAGCTGTGCTGGTTTGGTTTGCTATGTTTTGGTTGCTGGCGAGAGTTAAGCATCAAGTCAACAAAGAAGAGTGTATGAGTTCCTTTATAGAGTCTCTGAGTTTGGGGCCATGAGTGAGTGGTTAGCTGGGACACGAAGGTCTCCCTTCTCAAGAGCACAGATAGAATCACTTCAGAGGGTGATGTCATGACCATCTGCAAGTTCACAGAATTGGGCTGGTCAGGAAAGAGGAAAGAGACGAGTTGTGACCAGCCTGGGATCTGAACCTTGTAAAAACCAACCACCCAGCCCAGTTTTACAGGGCAGGCCAGAAGAGGCCAGGCCTGCCCCACCCAGCCCGCTTCCTCTCTGCAGGCCCATCCCGAGAACACCATGTTTTCACTCAGTGGTGCATTGACCCCACTCTTCCATGGTAATTGTCCCCATAAAATGAGCCCCAAGAGAATGCTGCCTATATTTAGAGCCCCCGTAGCCTGCCTGCCTTATCTAATGTTAGTGTCTGGAGAACATCAGCCCTGGGGCCACAGGACGAGCAGGCAGCAGAGAAGAGGAGAAACCTGTATCCAGGGAAGCCCTGCTACCCCGATGGACAGGCCAAACATCCTTCTACAGTAGCACCTGTAGCTCACACAGGTGTAGCCGCCTGCCTGTCTCCACGTCTGTTCCTCCATCGGTTTCTCTTCTTTGGTTTGTAGAAAGAGAAGAACTCATCCAGGGCGTGCTGGCCCAGGTGGCAGAACAATTCTCCAGGTACCGTATGCTCACTCTCTGTACATCCTTTCCAGACTTATGGGAGCTGGCCCTAGTCATGGTCAGCCCTCTGTAGCTTCTGTAGCTAGCCTAGCTCGGCATATCCTAGCAAAACTTCACCATATCCCCAAACCCATGTCCCATGGCCGCTTGTAGAATATGAGTTCCGGAGGTGGCGAATAAGTCACCCTCCATTCTTCTAAGGGTCGGAGCCATCAATAAAATACCCTTTTACAAAGGAGTGTTTCTCACTGAGATGCTGCCGTATGGGTGGATGGCTTCCCTTTAGTTTTGCCAACATCCTATAATTTCGTCGTCAGTTTCCCAAAGTGACTTCTGTATGGTATGTTATTGTCACTTTGGACCAAATGACTGAATCACCACGGAGCATGGCAGTACCCCACAGCTGTCCGTACTGGGCAGAGTGGGGCACGAGCATGGGTCAACCCAGAGAGCCCAGGACAGAGTAGTGATAACACCAGACTCTGAGACATTGTGTGTTCTTTAAAAGGTACCTCCTGTTGTCTTGGTCCCCTCCCAACCCTCCCTGGAGATTTCACCCCAGGCAGGGACCTATAAACATTGGCTGGTCTGGGCCTCCTGCTTTATCTTTTCTCCCCGCTTTTGCCCCCAGAGCGTTTAAGATCAACGAGCTGAAAGCGGAAGTTGCAAATCACCTGGCCATGCTGGAGAAACGGGTGGAATGTGAGTAGCGAGGTTTTTTTTTGTTGTCATTGTTTTGTTTTTTATCCTCCATCAGAATTAGTCGCTTAGAACCGTGAGCAGGTCAGCGCTGAAGGCAAATGCATTCTTTCTGTGTCGCTTTGATTTCAACGAAAGCTGGACCAGGGCAGATCTTAAGCACATATTTCTGTTAAAGCAAAGCTTGTATGAAGCTTCGTCTGTGCACCGGACACAAACCATAAACCCGGTGGCCTATGTCTGGCCTGGTAGAACCCCTGCCAGGGCTGTAGCTCTTGTACTTCTCTGCATGGGGGCGGGCCGGGTGGGGGTCTTCTCTTCACACCGCTGTGCAGCTTGCTTCTGCAGAATTTGGAATATGTGACATTTTGGTCTCTGTTTCTGACCACTGCAAGTAAGAGCGAGTCAAGTCCAGTTTCCATTCCAAAGAGCCAGATTCAGGGAGGGAAATAGCTTCAAGTCACCTCATCCGTGGTGACAATGAAGGATTGATGCTTCCGCACCACAGGCCCTCAGAGCCCACATTTCACCCTCCGCTCTAAAGCCAGGCTCTCTGTCACTGTCAGCCTCAGCCTGGTGATACCCGGGCACCTAATTTATTAACTTGGGCTGAGTAAACAGAATTCAAACAGGAAGCCATTAAGAGATGAGCACCCTTGAAGAATATGTGGCTCTGTTTATATGAAAGAGTGGGTGCCATTTTTTTTCTTTTTAATCGCTTCTCATTTTTTCAAGAACAAATTTCTATCATACAAGACCTGACTCAGGGGAATGAGCCGACACATATGTTCCATCATCCCCCGTGTACCTCTCCAAGTGCGTTGGCTTTCCCCCGAGTCAGCTTGTCTTTGGGTCCTTAAGACTATCTTGTCTTCCCTGGGGATAGTGAGGAGCCACAGAAACGTTAGTGACCACTCCAGCAAAGGGCGGCACACAGGAAGCATGTGTAAGTCACAGCAATGTCCCCTCCAAGGTGCTAGAAGTTGGAAGCTCTCCGGCTTGGGAAGTGTCAACGGGGCTGGCTCCTCTGGGATCTGAGGGAAAGCCAGTTCTAGCCCGACTCTGGTCATTGGTCCTTCCCATTCCCTAGCTGGGATCAGTACATGGCTGCAGCCTGCTCCTGTACTGTTCCAATAGTTCCCTCCTTCCGGCTACTGTTTCTCAGTACACCCTGTCTGTTTCTTGTGAAGACAAGCTGCCATTTGAATCAAAGATGCTCCTGTTTTGAGTTTTCTACCTAATACCTGCCAAGGATCTTTTGTTGAAATCAAGTGGTGTTCACAGGATCCTGGCCCCGGGTGGCTGGGCAGGCACTCTAGGAAGACAGCTTGAATCACTATTCCATACAGACACACAGACACGAACGCAAAGACATAGACAGACTCACTGGAAGGCATGTGTGCACACGCAGGTCCATCTGGGTGTTGTTAACTGTTATCTCAGGGTAAGAGACATCCAGCTGTAAACCCCCACACTGCTGACCTTGTAGTGAACAGAATTTCCTGCTTGCTCTTTGACCTTAAACCAAATATACGTTTCTCCTCTGTGACTGTCAGCGCTTTTCCCCCCTTTCTGTGTAAATGTTTAGCTTTTAAGGAGTCTGGGATGACTGGAGGGTCAAAGGTGATTTCATAACCATGGAACAGCCTGGCCCTTGCCTCCTGTCCTGCCGGGAGCTATTCACTTCCTTCCTGGTGTGTTGTGGTGGGGACACAGGGCATCCCTTCTCTGTCCACTCTTTGTACCCATGTCCTGGACCTAAACCAAGACCTAAACACCAGTGTGGGCCACAGCCAGAGCTGACACCCGAAGACAGAGGTAGATACGGGGTAAGCAAACAATCCAGAATTGCT